TGCTGAAAAATTTTTTGCTGTTTGTACACTTGTACTGCTTTTTTGAAAAGGTTCCAGATGTGTAAATCCTTTCTTAATTTTATTTAGGAATGAAGTTGCCGAAGCGAACGAAAATTACAAAGCTGCGGTTTCTAAACTGACTGATACGAAGGGCGAACAACGCACATCGGATGAGGATCAGGAAAAAATTGATCCCATCCCTGTACTCGTTTTTGTTTGTAATCGTCCTCGTGCACTTAAGCAACACGTTGATAAACTGTTAAAGTTTGTGGTTTTATTTGTCATAGCTAAAGTACTTGAAATATTTTATTTATTGCCGGTTTAAAGGAAGCTGTTTTTTTATAACACCAATTCATAGTGAATAAAATCAGTTAAAACATTGCTGAATGATCTGTTTCTCTTTATTAGTTTCATTATTTCTTAGGGATGAAGATTTTTCTTTCACAGGATATGAGCAGTAGCATTTTTGTAACTTCTTAATGTTTTCTGTCATACAGTTTAGTAATTTTTAGGTATAGACCAAATGCGGAAAATTATCCTATTATTATTAGTCAAGACTGTGACAATAATGAAGTTGCTGAGATAGCTCAAGGTTACGGTTCCTCTGTGCAGTACATCAAAGTAACACTTATTTCATTGCTTACAGAAAATTCTCAGAAAAGCATTATTTTTCCTAAAAATTGTTCTAATTGAGTAGTGTCTTTTTGGGTTGATACGAGGGCACTTCCCGGTTTTTTTTTCTTAGATTTTTCTCGAATTGTTGTGGATTACATCGCGTTAAAACTTATATAAATGAGTAAATTTCAGCATCTCAGTGGAGACAAAGCAAATATTACAGTTGCTTCTGGACACCAGCGATATTTAACATATTATATGATAGCTCGTCATTATAAATTGGGTCTCACTCATGTATTTAATCGTTTAAATTACAGTAGCGTGATAATTACAGAAGGTAATAATTAATTTTAGCAGACTTGTCAACGTCTAGCTGCTGTATTTGCTTCTCAGTAAAATTTTTTTGATGGTTTTTCGAGTTTTCATTATTATTGCTCTTAGATGACCTCGATATTGCTCCTGACTTTTTCGAGTACTTTCGTGCAACGCGTAGACTACTGGACAAGGACCCAACGCTTTATTGCGTTTCTGCTTGGAACGACAACGGTAAATCAAATTTAATTGACAGTGATGCGACTGATTTGTTATATCGGAGTGACTTCTTTCCGGGGCTTGGTTGGATGATGACAAAGTTCGTTTTTCCAGTTTTTATATGAAGTCCTTGAATATTTTTATATTAATTTGCATTTTTTGTTTATAGAACTTTATGGGATGAATTAGGACCGATTTGGCCCAACGGTTTCTGGGATGATTGGATTCGAGATCCATTGAGGAGAAAAAACAGAGCATGTATTCGTCCAGAAATTTCTAGAACAGCTATGACTAAAGAGGGCAGGAAAGGAGCCAGCAAGTTAGTTCTTTATAGTTTTTGAAATTGCTTGAGGAAATTACTGCTTGAAATTTCCAAGTTTCAAAAGTTCCTGAGGCTTATTATCGCCGTGGTTGCAATTTCGCGCTAGAAGTTATGACTTCACAGTAATAACTAGATTATTTCTCAAGTTTGCCTGTTTAAGAGGTCTTTTTTTCACAAAACATCTCGCAAAAATCCAGTTAAACACTCAGCCTGCGAATTTCAGTGGAAGGAGTATGGAATATTTAATCAAGGTGAGATTTCTTCGGTTTCTAAATTTCTTTCTTTACTTCTACTGCTTCTGCTAACATTTTCATATTTCTGCAACTTTATTTGGATTGCCTTAAATTTAATAAAATTGATTACCTGCACGCTATCATTAAGTTTTTTCTATGTCATTTTAAAATTTTGGTTTGCTTAGTGACATATTACAGAAAAATTATGACGAACCGTTTTTGGATAGTGTATATTCTGCCTCTGTGACTAACCTTCCATCACTCCGACGATTGATTTTGGAGGCCAGTCCAGGAGATTATAGAATAGAGTATACTACTCTCTCTGATTATCTTTCTATAGCCGACAGTTTGCAGATCATGAGAGATTTCAAGGTGAGTAATGGACTTGAAACTATGCTTTAATAGAGTTCTCCTGAAGCATTTCCATACAAATTTTTAGCCTGATTTTGGTACTTGTTGATCATTTCTTCTTTGTTAGAAGTTCATGTTAGGATGCCATTACGCAGAGAAAATTTATTCAGGCGGGAGTTCCTAGAACCGCATATTTTGGCATAGTCACTTGTTTTATAAACAGAATGCGAATTTATGTGGCTCCTGATCGCTTTACCTGGAGTGGCTATAATCAAAGTTGGGAAGCACCGGACAATCCGCATGATTTAGCTCAGCTATAGCTACTTCACAAGTACCTTTCGGTTTGCTCATTTACTGGGCCACGTTGTTTTGGGCTTTCAAATAGCTCTAAAATTGTTATATAAAACGACATACTTGCCATGTTGCTTTCTTTGTTAACTGTTGTTTTTTTTGTTTGTTGTTTTAAGCCCATATGACATGTTCATATTATTTATACTGTTTTTTGGAATAGTAAGGACTTAGTCATGAAGTCCAAGTGAGCTTTTTTCCAGGAGAAACATTTGTTTTTCACTTTCATTGTTTAAATTTTTCGGAAGCGAACTCTGTGAAGAGTGAGCGGTCGGGGATGAGCATCAAACACCTCTAATCCACTGAAGCGTGTTCATAATGGCAACGATCTTTTGAGCTTATATCGTTTATTTCCTTACAAGAAGTTCCATTAGCTATCACTGCTCCCGCACTTTCACATAGGTCTCTTCAGTTCCAACCTGATATTGATAATCTGGGAGTTTTGACAGCAGTGTCATGAGCAGGTTAGAAATCTTGAAATTTGTCGGGTGGTTCCAATTTAAAAAAGGAAGAAATCTGATATTTGTCTTAATATTGCCTTATACTAACGAAAACCTTTAGCCCGTACGGACGACTAAAGAATGTTACTTTAAAATTGTAGTTTTTAAATAATGGCAAAAGTCAAAATTACATTCCCAGTATCACCCGTTGGTTTGAGACAACTTGGTCCTATTACTCATATTTCTAAATCGTTTTTATTCAAGTTCATTTTTTTTCTTCTCACATTTTTTTCAGCTCCCGATTTACCCGTTTCCTCGTTGTTTCTTCCTCGCCCCTTCTGTTTCCAATTCCCTACTTCGTTGTGCCATTGCGTTATCTGGATGTAGTGAATTATTGAAAGTGATTGCTGGAACGCGTGCCATACTAAAATGTAGTTAGTGGTGCAGCGAGAGGTGAAATGATATATAAATTGCTGAGGGCAGAAGCTATGGTTAGTGGGAAGCTGTTTTAACTGAAAGGTCGAGAACTCCGTCCATTTTTGAAAGTACTCTTCTAATTTGTGTGAAATAGAGGGTTGCATCTTTCAAGATTTTTAAATGTTTATTTCTTTCGTAAAAACCCGAGGAATCTATTGTAAACAGGTAGCTCTTCAGACTCATTTTTTCTGCCTTGCGGTTTTGAGATTTTAATCTTTGGGTAGGGACTGTCTAATAATCAAAAAAAAGTGGTAGGATGCAGCTGCAAACTGTTGTTGTCAGTGCCTTTGGAGTATACCATAGACAGATGTTTTAACTTTTAACTGTAGCCCTTCAAGGATTTTTCCAATAAAATGGGTTTAATTCAGCTGCTCTAAAGTTTCAACAGTTGTTTGTCTCAGAAAATAATGGCCTTCTGAAAATCTGTCACTCATTTCTTCTGTAACGCTCTGCTATTGGTCTTTCAGACTTCTTAAATATTACTGGGAAAGTAATATTTAAGCGAAAGTTCTAATAGTGCTACGAAATTCGTTTTCTTTTTTCATTTTATCTGAAATAGTCTTTTCTTTGAAATAAATTTCAAATTCTTGTGTTGCTTTTGGAGGTGTACTCAAAAATTCAGTATCTTTTGCTTCTTGAAGATGCTCGTAGCGCTTTTTGAGTATTTCTTCGGTGCCACTTTATAGTACTTTGTGAATTTGCATTTTTTGTAATACAAGATTAACTTATGCATAGTTTCTTTAATGTAGCTTATCGTGTTTTCAATTGTATTTGTAGTATATATGTCTTTACACAGTTTTCAATCTTTCCATCCTCTACGTTGACGTTTGCAGGTACAAACAGATTCGTCATAGTTTTATTCGCGCACTGTGGTTTCTGTATTTGTTATGGGTATTGTCTGAACTTTTTTTAAGATTATACATTTTGCCTTCTGTGCCTTTAAGAAGATATAAATACCCCTAGAGTGCAAATTACAAGTAGAGGGTTTGTAAACATTCTAAAGCCAACAACACTTCCTGAGAAAAAACCACACTAATACTGTGCCAGATACTGGGTAAAAACTTTTTTCCCAGACATTTCTGTACAAATTTCTGATAGTAATTTAAGGACTGCCACATATTCAACATCAAAAGAACAAAAGTTTTTAGCGAAATATTAACATTTTTTTTCTATAAACTTTGATAGTCGTGATAAACTGCGGCACTCACGAACAGTTTAAAAGTGCATACGTCTACAGAAGCCATTTTTGTGCATTTAGGCTAGAACTCTGGAGAAGGTAATTGCACTGACCAGTACCGTGTAGAAATGAACAACTATCTCCACGTAGTCCAGCTAAGCTGAAAATAATCGCGGACGGCTGAAAATTATGCAGCATATATTATCCAAAATATGTTGGCACTTCATAGGAAATGCAGTGGAAACTTAAAAAAATTTCTTGAAATGCCACATCTGTTTTCAGTGATTTGGTTGTTAAAGCAGTGGAATTTATTGAAAACAAGTATTGGACGTAGATGATAATATTGCCGAACAAGTGCATGAGTGGTCATAAAAGTGCCAGGCGCTTTTCCGGCGAAGATGTAAGATGTTAAAGGGGTAGTTAATAGAAGTTTCAAGCAAAAAACGTAACTAAGCGATATCGAAAAATGGTTAGACATTTTGCTCCTTCCCAAAAATCGACAAAAGAGGGACAAGAGTAGTGTACTTTAGGAGCGAAACCATCACAGAGGAGCGAACGAAACAAATTACGGAAACATAAATGTCGTACGCAGCGGACACCTATTTATAGTTTATAACTCGGTTGCTAAACCACTAGTGCATCTCTTAGCCTCTTATTCTCACTAATCGTCCGTCTTTTTAAAAGTTGTCAGATATTTCATTGTGACAGGGAGAAAAAGGCACTGCCTACCTGACAACTTTTTCCATTCACAATTCCCTCCTGCAAAACTGTTCCTTATCAATTTGGAAAACTGCAGTGTTACTTCTTGCAAAAAAAGAAAACACACGCGGTTCAATTCGCGAATGGCGATAATAAGTACTCGAGTTTACAAAGTCAAAATATAAATTGACGTCTTAAAAGACGCAGTTCCAAAAAAAATCCAAGGAAACAAGACCAAGAAAATGCCATAGACTTTAGGGTCCTCGACAGTATCGCACAATATGACTTCACCTCTGAAACCTACGGAGTAAGATAACGCTGCCTAGCATTTACGCGGCCCATAATTCGCAAAGCAAAAAGTTGTATTTCTGTTGGAAAAAAACGGCGATACTTAACGATCAACATATAAGACACCAAAGTCAAGCAGCAGCTGTCACAGTGAAGGATCTACAAAATTGCAAGGTCTTCAGGAATATTTTAGTAATTTTTGAAATGTTTCCAAATGTTTAGGATACTACTCCAAAAAATGCGAAAAATCAGAGTATCCTGAAAGATTACCACTGTGAATCCGAATATCACAAAATTAAACTAATAATATGAAAGTGTAATATTATGTAACGAATTGCTTACCAGCCACGCTTTCGACGTCAGTACTGTAAGGTTCACCAGCACACCGCAGCATAAGAAGTATTGTAGGGGCTGTCTTCTGTACTAGTGCAGGGAATTACTCAATGCCTGTCATATTATTTGGAAGGGGAAGAGGAGGGGCTGTTGTCCGTTTCAAAGATATTTCTAGTAGTTTAATAATATTTGCATGAGTCATCCAGAGCGAAGTTTAAGATGAAACTGCATAGAATTGGTTGTCTCACTTCTGATCAAAGAGAGACTAAACGTCTGCGACTGAAGGAAACAACTTGGGGTTTTCAAAAGCTTATTTTTTTAATTACAGTAAAAGAATTTAATTCCTCAGAAAACAAGACTTAAATAAACGCTCTGTCACAAAAAGGACAATAAGAAGTCCAATTGTGCTTTCAATACGTTTTTTTTTTAAAGAAAGTTACCGTCATAGAAGTTGGTATTTTTATCGGAGAAGAAAGGCAAGAAAAATCTCCGTTCTCATCCAAACATCTAAGTCAGCCACTAGCTTACTAAGAAGTCAATGACCGTATGACCACTTATAAAAATTACCACTACCATTTCCTCCATAAAACTTCTAAAAAATAATACTGAAACATAACGATCTTATCAGCAGCATATATGCAAATACAATTTGAACGATGTTTCAAATTCCTTTCCAAGTAGTGCTCGATACCGACAATGAACAGTGTTAGAAAAGTCCTTAGAGGACTACAGTGAGTAGATGGAGAAAAGCGAAGCCGCAAGTGAGGACTTAACAGTCCAAAAACCTCCTTTTGAAGTGGTTCTACATTCTAGATTCTTCCTTCACAAACAATTGTATTACGCTGGTACTTTCCTTCTTTCTGAAAACCTCTTATTCTGAAAGACATTTTAATGAGAAAAAATTCAGCGTAAACCTAACTGGGTATCTCAATTCAAAAATTTTTTAGGGACTTCCAAAATGCGGTTTCAGGGATTGCTTTGTTGGAAAGTGAACTGAAGGGCTACAAAAGCAACAAAAAGTATGATAAATACAGTAGGTATCATGAAGAGGAACAAGGTCAAATAACTTCATGGATATTTCTGCGCATCTAAGAACATCTAAGAACCTCGTGGTGTCGACGGAGTTATCCAAGTTGGCGCTTCCCCCTTGACATATGCTCATAACTCGTCCAAATTTTTGCTTAGATGCTCGAGAAGCCTTAAAGAACAGCTAACACGGCGTTTTTATGCCCTGACAGATGTCGTTGCATCGCAGTCTTTTTTTTTTTTTTTTCGAAGTTCCGATTTTCGTCAATAACTGATTTGAAGCTACCACTTCTTGCGTCCCAAATGGAAAAAAAAAAAAGCAGCTTCTTCAGTCCCAAGGTCAATAATGAACGCAATATTCTCTAAATGAAGTTCAGAGCTATACTTCATGTGACAAAAGTATCAACAAGTGTGTATGAACATAGTAGCAGAAAATCGTGAAGCTGCAGGTTAGGGATTTAACAAAGCTTTTAAAAAATGAAATGTCTTCATAATTAAAGAAGTAAGATGTGTAACATTCGTGTGTGGAATTCAGTGCTATGAAACGGACCCACCAACTGTGAAGCTAAACCGGAAATTTCCGTTTCTGCACTTATATTTAATTCCTGTTTTCGCTGCTTTTTCAAAATAAAAAAAAGGGAAAAAAGCACGTGGAGCAGAAGGCACTCAATCAAATTGAAGCAATGTCGATGTTAGTTGTTGGTACACTTCCAGCTTTGAAAACAGTGCTGATTATGGAGTCCGCTAAATCTGGAAAGGAAGTATAAAAACTTGTCTTCCAGTTTCTTATCTTTTTTGTTTTTGTCTCACAACTTTTCGGATATCACTCCCCAAATGATTTTCGGAAAGTTTTAGAGGTTGCTGCAACTTTTAAGCGAACAGGTAGCAAATATAATCATTTTCTGTTGAAATCTGCACTTTTCGTTTTCCGACAATGAAACTGCCGAAGAACAACGAAAACCGAAAAAATCACAAGCGATAATTAATGAGTTCATTTTTCAACTTTTGTTGCGCTACTTAAAACCTTCTAAGGCAATTTTAGTGATTAGGGTCCAGAAGGTTGCTGGTTCATCGTAACCAGTTTCAAAACTCTGTTCGTCAGCAAACAAAATTCTAAGATCTTTAGTAAAAAAACTTTAGGAAGACTCATTTGGAAAATTTAAAGTTCCCTTACGCAAGAATATTTCCCAAATGTACATAATTCGTCATCATTTTTCATGTAAATGGCAAAATTTCTGCTCATATACAATCTTAATAGTTAGTACTTTTACAGATGGTGAAAAGCCATGATATTTTTCTATCAACGGACGGGAAGACAGAGATGGCTTGCCTTCCAGGTCCCATAATTCTATCGGTGAATAATGATTTTTGTTGTCTTTAATTTTCGATAACCGTCTGCACATCGGAATTCCGTAATGCATCTAATTTGCAGCATTTTTGCAGGATATAATACGATGAAAAGACGGACTGCTGAAGTGTTAAATGAAGGATATGGACGGTCTTTATCTGGGTTGTTCAGAAGAAAAAAAAAAAAAATTAAGCAAACTGTACAGACATCAATTTCCGAAGCCACAGACTATAACACTTAGAATATAAACTGTGACAGACGACAAACGATTATTCGCAGTGTACAGATGACTATGAAGCAACGAGATACAAGTATATTTGTGCATTTATTTAAAGGTGAAGAAAGCTGTGAAACAAATATCGGCTGGCCGCTCGATTTTACTTTCAGTATCACCGTTTTTGAAGTAATAAATATAATACAAAACGAAACATTGGCTATTTGCCAAATTTTAATTGTTTTTCCCTCCAGAAAATCACTTATTACTGTTATGTTGCAGTTTCGTATATGGCACATTGCAGCGGCACCGGTAGTAGCAGCAGCCGCAACAGCAGAAGCAGCAGCAGCAACGGCAGCAGTAGCAGCAGCAGTGTTGTTGTTTATTGTTGTCGCTGTTGTTGTTGTTGTTGGTGGCGCTGATGCCGATGGAGTGAGTATGGGGAGGGGAGGGCCGGAGAGTAAAGAAATTTTAACGATTTTTGGTTCTTCACGAATTTCTTTTTCTGTATTCCAATGTTTGAGGTTTTCCTCTGCGTAAGTTGTTTGATGCATAAACGGCTATTGCGGATAGTGTATGGTGAAGAGGGGGACAGAGGAGGAGTGGAAGAGGAAGAAACGAAAGAATACTTTTGTTGTGTGTACATTTTGGCCTTCTTTTTCATTTTCGACATGTTGTCTGGCTCATAAGTTTCTGTTACTCATTGTTTGTTTTCTGTTTTATTTTACTTCGATATTTTCTTTTCTCCCATTGTTTTTATAACAAATTATAGATATACGAGTGCGACGGTTAATTTGCAACAGTTTTTGTTTTGGTTTTTTTTTTCTTGTTTTTTTTTTTTACCTTAATCTAATAGTGCAAAAATTTTTTCAAATTTTGAAATTGTTTTCAAATGAGGAATTTTTCTGGTTTGTTGGTAGATGCAAATTACGCTGTTGATAAAGGTTCAAAAAGAGGAAACTTTTTTTGTTTGTCTTTTTTTGCGGAATACGCTTATCGCTGAAACGTATGTGGCGAAAGAGTTCCTCCATTAAAAAAAAAAAA